TCTCTCTCTGTGTGTGTGTGTGTGTGTGTGTGTGTGTGTGTGTGTGTGTGTGTGTGTGTGTGCCTTGCTCAGTTCTAAGGGAGGCAAGCAGAGCTGAAATACTAAGAGACACTAGAACAAATGCTGAAAATACATGACTACTTATCATTATTATACATGCTGATAAAGAAAAACAAGTAAAAAAACGAAAAACCCCAACCTAGGCCCTCTGCATTTGTATGGCCATTGTGCAGCTTGGTCTGTTTGTGGGGCTCCCAGCAGTGGGATCAGGATCTGTCCCTGGCACTTGAGCTGTCTTTTAGGAACCCAATCCCTCAGCTGAGCTGCCTTGTCCAGCCTTGATGCAAGGGGAGGAACTTGGTCCTGCCTCAACTTGATGTGCCATGCTGAGTTGACTCCCATGGGAGGCCTGCCCCTTTCTGAATGGAGACAGAGGAGGAGTGGATGGGGGGGAAGAAGGGAGGTGGGGAGAGGGAACAAGAGGAGAGGAGGGAGTGGAAACCATGGTTGGTATGTAAAATAAATTAAAAATATTTAATAAAAAATCTTTTAAAAAATTCTCAAAAGTCATTAAATTCATTCATCATGCTGAAATTTTGTTCCAGTGACCAACTTTAAAAATAGTAAAAGGGAGTGGTGAAGGGCAATGTTTGGACTGCAGATGTATTTATTACGTGTATACTGCATGTACCCTAGCATGCCCATGGAGGTCAGAGGAAAGAGTATGTTCTCTACTTCCACCACGTGGGGCCTGGGGATCTAGCTCACATTGTCAGGAGTGGCGACAAGCAACCCCGATCCACTGAGCCATCTTGTCAGCCCGTAGATATATTTTAGAGTGACAATTATAACATTTACTTTAAAATGATTTTGTCTATGATTAACACTACCAGTTTGCAGCTCTCCCTCTCTCTCTCTCTCTCTCTCTCAAACACACACACACACACACACACACACACACACACACACACACACACACACACAAAACAACCAACAAAGAAACTAATTAATTAATTTTTTATGTATATGAGTGTTTTGCCTGTGTGTGTTTGTGTAGCAAATGTGTGCGCCTGGTACCTGAGGAGGCCAAAAGAGGGTGTCAGATACCCCAAAGTTACAGAGGGTACTAGGAACTGAATTCGGATCCTCCGGAAGAATGCTCTAATTGCTGAACCATCTCTCCTGCCGCAAGAGTTCACGTTTTCAATGATAGTTTCTAAACCTCTTGAAGTTTACCTATCAGATTTTACAAAAGCTATCTTTTAAACACTGATGTTCAAGGAGAGCGAGAATGTGAGCTGTTGGTGTAGCTGCCTCTTGCTTTACCTAATAGACCAGAAGTATGCAATCTTCATGTTTTTCTTTTTGTGCTTATTAGCTCTCCTCCTCCTCCTCTACTTTCACAAGCATAGGAGTCAGGAGGCACGCGCTTCAGGCAATTGCTTCATTCCAGATCACTCATCTGAGCTATTTCCAAACTTACAGGCACTGTGCCAGGTCACTTAACTTCCATCAAATGACTTTCATCACTCCCCTAGGAGGTTTGAACTTTCTGCTACTCTCTCATCAATCCTTGTAGTAAGGTGTGTGTGTGGGGGGTGTACTAAGAAGGCAATATTCAGCTTGGTTTTGTGTTAGCTTAGCTTCTGGAAGACATCCAAACTCAAGGGAGCTATCAGCTCCCCAATGGCCAATACCTGACGCCTCAGGTATCCAAAGATCACCGGATATGGGGGCCAGCAAACTTTCACCAGAACAGGAACAATATAGAAGCCATTATTTGATCTTTGCATTTGCAATACTGACTTTTATGCCTTAAGTTTCAGGTTTGACTTCAAAGGACAGAGACAATGTACACCACTCTATGTGTTTTTCTTTTTCTTCCCACACAGGGTGTTAATAAGACGCTCAGACTGGTCTAGAACTCATGATTCTCCTCCTCTGCCTCCATAGCACCTTTGGGCTCTTGATTTGAGGTCTCCAAAGGATCTTCCAGGAGTTCACAATGGACTTTGATGGGGAATATAGAGACACAGGGGATATGAGACTCCTGAAATTTTTGTGTGAGTTTTTCTCAAGGGAGGACAAGATATTTGGCCTTCATAAAATACTCAAACATCTACCTCCACTTCCTGTCTTTTATGAACATTAACTGTACTCTCTTTATCTTTTGAGAGGCAGATGTCACACTACTATTAATTAGCAGTCACATCTAAACATGAGTGACAAGTTAGGCAGAGTGCTGTGTACCTACAAAACTCCAGCTACTGGAGAGGCTGAGGCAGGAGGATCACTTGAGCCTAGGCATTTCAGAGAAGCCTAGCCAACCATAGTGACACCCAGAGTCTTAAACTGTTTAAATCATTTCAAATGTAAGCACACATGACAAGGACAACATGGCAGAAGTAAACTTGGTGAAATATTTAAAGGAACAGCCAATTCAAGTTTCCATTTTAACACACTGTCATTCCCAGCGATGTGGTAGAGCTACAGTAGCCATCTCGACACTCTAGCTCAGTCCTGGGAGAAGACCAAATACTTATGATGGCTGTCAGCCATCATAATGAAAGATGACCTCCATTATATTTGCTGTGCTTCTTTCACTGTGAGATGAGAGATCTGACTAGATGATATTTTGGATCCCTATGACGGGTCAAACAATTTTAGATCTCTTCCCTACACAAGCTACACAAGCCCTCTATTTGTGAGGTGAGGAGTCAGGGACGTTTCTGTTTTTGAATGACTTAAATGTTTTTGTTATTTTGTCTTTTCTTTCCCCCAGAGCTGAGGACTGAACCCAGGGCCTAGCAAGTGCTCTACCACTGAGCTAAATCCCCAACCCCAACTTAAATGTTTTTATCTGACATGAAATTAAGGCTGCTCTGAAAAAGGCATAGCAAAAGTCCTCCTCTTTGTTGCACCCCAAAAGCTACAGTAGTAGGTAACAGAACATAGGGCCCTAAGATTGTACCAGGAAGGAAGAAAAAAATCTGCAGAGTACCTCCTTTCAGGAAATAGTGTAACAAGACAACTGTCTCTCACAGTCCCGGCATGACCATGGACTAACATATTATTTCTACCTTCTATTGAACCTAGTGTATTTTTTGAAAACGATTTTATTGTTAATTATGTATATATGTATGTTATGTTTATGTGGGTGCAGGTGCCTATGCGGTCTTGAAGAGGGCATTGGATCCCATGGAGCTTGAGTTACAGGCGATTGTGAGTCACCTGACATGGGTGCTGGGAACCAAACTCAGGTCCTCTACAAAAGCAAGAGGTGCTCTCAAATGCTGATCCATCTCCCCAGGTCCCTCCTTGTGTGTGTGTGCCCTCCTTGTGTGTGTGCATGGGGAGACCAGAAGTCAACATCAGATGCTGTTCCTTGAGGAGTCATACACCTTATTTTTTCACCCAAGGCCTACCACTGGGAGCTAGGGCTCACTTACTAGGTTAGGGTAGCTAGTCAGCAAGCCCTAGGGACACTACTGTCTTAGCCTCCCAAGTGCTAGGACAGTGTGTGTGTGTGTGTGTGTGTGTGTGTGTGTGTGTGTGTGTGTACACACCCTGCTTTTTATGAGTGCTAAGAATCAAGAATCAAACCCAGGTCCTAATGCTTGCACAGCAATCACATTACCAAATAAACTATCTCTCTGGGCCCCTGGACCCAGCATAGCCCAGAATGAGGGGGATAGTCCTTGGAGAAGCTTGCTTTGGTCACAGTAGGGAGAAATTCTGGAAGGGGGCTGAGGATGCAGGGAGAAATGGGTGGAGAAGCTAGTATAGGAGGCCGAGAATGACAAAAGGTGGCGATAACAATAGAAAGGAGCATGAGAAGTGGGCAGATTGGAGAGATGATTAGGAGGTGAAGTTAGCGGTTTTGCAATGAAGAGAACGCAGTTGGCAAAGGAACAAGCAGAATCTCAAACAACTCTTATGTTGTCAAATTGGGTGCCCAAATGGGTGATGGTACTCCGACTTATGAGGAAAGGTCCTCCCACGGGGAATGTGACATAGCCCTACCCTGTGCCAATATTTTGTGCAAAAACCATTGGAAATAATTCATGCGAAATTTCCACAATCTATAATTTCTCATTATATGGATGATATCTTATTAGCTGATCCAAAGTTAGGTACCTTAGAAAGCACGTTTGAAGAAGTAAAGTTTTGCCTCACTGGGGACTACAGATTGCTTCTGAAAAGATACAAAGAGGAAATTCTATTAATTATTTAGGATATAAGATAGATCTTCTCCAAAAAATTAGACCCCAAAGGGTACAACTCAGGAGAGATCGACTGCGGACTCTTAATGATTTTCAAAAGTTGTTAGGAAGCATTTCCAACTTACAGGCTACCATTGTAATACCTAAAGATGGACTAGTAAATTTGGCTAATACCCTAAAAGGGGACAAGGACTTAAATAGTCCAAGAGAATTATCAGCTGAGGAGGTTTCATTCTTCTCCAGGTTATAGATAATGGCTATAGGGTTGGGGGTGGAACAATAAAAATCAGACTTGGTATTCTCCTTAAGAAAAGAAAAAGGGGAATGGATATGTATAGAATATTAGGGTAGATTACTATACATACTAGTAAACTAATTTAGTAAAATACCAGCCTTAGATAATTTGCACTGTTATGGATTCTTGTATATTGATACAAATGTAAACTTTTTTTTTTTTTTTTTGGTTTTTCGAGACAGGACTTAGAACACTTTAACACCAGTCTCTTCTCAGTCTTCCATCATACTGCTTCCTAGACTTAATTATATTATTTTTAACTCTTCTACAATTGGTATTTACTACTGCTATTCATTCCATATATCATGTTCTATTCATGCTATTCTTTTGATTTTAAGTTTCATCGTCATTAATCACAATGTTGTTCCTGCCCTAGTCTTTCTGAGTTATCATACCCAATAATTTCTAACTATAGTGAATACTGATTTGGTTATTATTTTCTGGTTCATAATCTCTTATCACTACTTCATACTTTACATATATTAATGAGCCTTCAAACACAGCCATTACTGAAGAAACATTAAAAATAAACATCTTATACGGGCTAAAATAAATCTAGAAATTTCTTTCTAAAAAGTCAAAAGATTTCTAAAGAGACTCCTCAGAATGTCCAGTCACAAAATGAAACTTGCTAAATGACCCTGTTATAGACATAGGTCTTACCTTCTTGCCTTAAAGATTCAAATAATGTCTAGTAGCCAAATAGTCTCTATCTTGCAAATGACAGACGGAAAAAGTTCTTCTCCTTTACAAACAGAGTAAAGGAATTAGTGGGTGTGCTAGACGATGTGCGTAAACTACTGATTTGAACGGAAAAATAATGATCAATTGACATACTTAGGAAATATGTCTAACCAGGAAAACCAATATTAACCAATCTCAATTTCAAAATCAAAGGAAAAGACAGAGTTCAGAGCTTATAAGAACTGACTTGACAAATGTGTCAGAAACATGCACATACCTACAGTAGATGGCACGGTATTGCAGAAACTACAGAAACCTAGCTCAGTTTTCATTATGATAAAAATTACAGGCCGGGCGGCGGCGGTGGCGCACGCCTTTAATCCCAGCACTCGGGAGGCAGAGGCAGGCGGATCTCTGTAAGTTCAAGGCCAGCCTGGGCTACAGAGCGAGATCCAGGAAAGGCTCCAAAGCTACAGAGAGAAACCCTGTCTCAAAAAAAAAAATTACAGAACACAGGAGTCCTACCTATTATATTCAGAAAAGATGCCAAGGCCCTGAACAAGTTAGACCTCTACACTGAGTAGCTGCTATGGCAGGATGGGTGCAGGGGTTGCTGGACGAGGAGGCATGCAACTGTCTACTTGCAGATTCAACTTCCCCAGCTGAACTGTCTGGAATATTCTGGTTATCCAGAGGAAAAGAGAGAAAACATGAGGGCCTTTCCCTGACTACCCCCAAAATAAATACAACTAAAAGATTAGACAACTGGTTTTTAATCATTAAAATGTTGTGGAGGAAAGTCCAACCCTGCCGCTTTAGTGAGAATACAGTTGTTTTGCTCCTGAGCAACGCAAGCCTGGACCAAGAGCTGTGCCTTTAGGGTGGCACAGAAGCCCCAGGGAATATTTTTTTAACAAGACTGAAGGATACCTTTAACGTGCCTGAGGCATTGCTTGAGGAATAGGAAGGAGACACGGAAGTCTCTGTACTTAGGAGCTGAATGTACCAACAGAACACATAATTATGACCAAAGACCAGAAAGCAATTAGTAGCAGTATCAAGCCTTGCAGGGAAGGGAGCATCCTGGGCCAGAATGGTCTCACAAGGACTGAGTAACAACATGTGGCCTATATCAAAAGCACCCACTACTTACTGATCTCACACAATGTCCCAGGAAGTACATTAGACATTCATTTTTCTTCATAATAACCCACTCCCCATTCTACAGATGAAGGTGTTAACTCAGAAAGGATAAACAAAGAGCTGGGCCAGCACTCAGGAGGCAAAGACAGGTAGATCTCTGACAATTTGAGGTAGCTTAGTCTACATGGTGAGTTCTAGGCCAGCCAGGACATAGTGAAAACCTGTCCAAAACAAAAAGGGAAAGGAAAGGATGAACAAAGGTTAAATGTGTTGCTCAAGGCAGAACCGGGTACTCACACCTTGGTCTGACACAAAAACTAAGTGTTTCTTTTGTTTTTGTTTTTGTTTAAGACAGGGTTTCTTTGTGTAGCTCTGGGTGCCCTGTAATTCCTTCTGTAGACCAGGCTGGCCTCAAACTCACAGAGATCCACCTGCCTCTGCCCTCCAAGTGCTGGGGTTAAAGGCATAGGCCACCACTACCCAGCTAAAAAAAGTTTTATCAGTTCTCCTTACAGTTCTTTCTATCATAGTAATGAAGGGAAAGGTTTTCAACTGAGATTTCAAAACATTTTATAGTTGTAATTCTAAAAATGTTAATCTGTAATTACATTCTGAGAATAAAAGCAAAAAGTAACCTACTTTTTTGTCATTGTTTTTTATGTGCATTGGTGTTTTGCCATGGGCACTGGGCCCCTGGAACTGGAATTACAGACAGTTGTGAGCTGCCATGTGGGTGCTGAGAATTGAACCTGGGTCCTCTGGAAGAGCAGCCAGTGCTCTTAACCACTAAGCCATCTCTCCAGCCCCTGTTCTGTTTTGTTTTGATGAAAAAGCAACCTCCTTCTATCTGCTTACTCCCTCTTCAACAGCCAACCAGAATGCCATTTCTTGCAGAATTCCTTCCTAGCCAACTAGGGCTTGGTTGGGAGTGGAGGTGTCTTTCTCCAAAGGTCTCCACGGAAACACTACAGTCCTTTATGAGTAATCCCCAAAGCCAATAAGCTTTGGAAACTCCAGTGTTAGAAGAAAGTTTGCAGAAAGTTCTTTTGGTGGCCAAAGATAAATTGGTCTAAAATAAAACTCTTTTGTAGTCTTTACTTATTGTACTTAGTGTGACTATTCATATTCTGATGCAGAAATAATAATGGATATAACTAAAGGATAATGGAGTATTATAGCTATTATAATGTATGTATGCATATGACTTGTTAAAATTCAGACATTTCTGGTTTGCAAGCCAAATTTGGCCCCAAAGTGTTTCAAACAAGGGACACTGAACTTATACCTTATTGATAAATTTCACTGTGCAATAAAACACTTTTTTCTTTTGTAATGTTGGCAATCCAATGTCGGGCATTGAGAATGCCAGGTAAGCTGTTATACCACTGAGTGACACCACCAGCAGCTCATTCATTCATTTTATGTAGGCACATACTTTGTACAATGTTTTGAATATAAAAGTGACACAATAAGCATTTCCTGAGTGAGGAGCCAAGGTTGAGAAATCAGCTAAGAAGAAAAAAAAAAGGTTAATGGTTTGGAAATGACCATGGGTCTCCAACTTGTAGGTCAAGCCTCAAACCACCAACTGGCACTTCCTTCTTTGACTCTGAAAGCCCTAAAAATAGCCGCTGTTGATTGAAGGCAAGCAATATAGCTGCTGTCTTCACTGGAAACAAAAATAGCTCAGTGGTCTTACACTGGGTACTCACACATAACTTTTGCCAAGTACAAAGCATTGCAAGCATATTCCTATCTGTGACCATATGCTCAGCTTTCCAACTGTACAGCCCTGATGCTGATGCTATGTGCTCAGAAGTTTTGTCAGTTGTAAAGTAGCAACCAGAGTGGGTCGTAGGGCCCTCTCAGGTAGATGTCTAGCAAGGTAACTCATGGGAGAGGCAGCAGCAGTTGCCCACACTCAGATGCAAGCCTTAGGAGTGGTTTTTTTCACTCCTGTCTACTGGACTCAGAGTAGAAGAGTTTACTGTTCTTATTCAGTGTGCTCTGTTCGATCTAACCTAACACACCTCTTTCATCCAAAAGAAGCGGTCAGGAAGGACATCGAGGGGTCCGTTCTGATTTTTTTTTTTTTAAAGGGAAAAAAGGTCCAAGAACTCTGCAAAACCGCCTCAGCAATTGTTCAAAGGCCAGAAGGCCTGGCTTGGGAGTAAAGAGAACAGGAATAGCAATGAGGAAGGGGGCTAATAACTGGCTAGCAAGGATTGGACTAAAGTAGAAAACCTCTTAACTGCAAGCTCTCAGGTCTCAAGAGTGAAGAGGCCTAGGGGAGAATGACTCATATCGGAGGGCTGATGAGGGCTTTCTCTTGACCACTCTGTTTACCTGGTAACACAGGATGGTTTGCTGCACCAGCCTCGCGTACCCGTCCAGGCGGACCCCAGAATTGCTCCTGCTCCGCATCTCGCCCACGCTCACCGGCCGCGGCGCCGAATTTGCCCGGTGGTGTCCGCCAGGATTGCAGCCTTCAAGCCGGCCTGATCCCCAAACACTCAGCTTCAGTGAGTTCTCCGACTAGGGTAGGGCGGGAGGAGGTCAGGACTTTTCAAAATGATAGACCTCAAGTACAACTTACTAGACAAGCCAACCAGAGTTTCGCACCGCTGGGCGGTGCGGGGGAGGAGACCGGGGGTGGCGCTATCGCCGCCCCGCCTCTACCAAGCTCCCAGCTGCCGGGACGGTTTCTAGTCCTGGACCGGCCACGCAGGACAAATCCGTGACTGAGACCTCGGCGACAGAAAGGCCTTTGCCATACCCCCTTTGTTTTCGGGGCTGTATGAGGTGGCTCCGGGTTGCCTGGAAGCCCACTAAGCTATACTCGGCTCCGCCCCCCGCGTGGAGCGGAACACTCCAAGTTTTCACCGAAGGGGGGGGGGATATAAAGAGGAAGACCCGTGGGAGCCGCGGAGAGTAAGGCTCTGAGCGGGAATTAAGTTTTGTCATTGAGTTTTCTCCTACCTTAACCGGCCTCCAACCCCAGCTGGGTCTAAAGGAACAGAGCCCCTCAGTCGTGGCCACCGGGGCGCCACAGCTACCCCCGAGAGCCGGTCGCGCCACGAAGTGGAACCCCTGGAGTCCCGCCCCGAAGGGCGCGTGTTAGGAGGTGGCACCTTCTGCTTGCAGCCCCGCCCACGGCCCGCCTCCGCCCGGGAGTGGAATCTGTCGTGGCCTGATAGGGGAAGGAAAATGGGGCAGCCCACGGGAGACACGGAGAACCTGGATCCAGGCAGAGAACAAGTCGGCTTTCTGGGTCGGCAGTGACAAGGTCTTCTGAGAGAGCCGCCAAACCCAGCTGAGACCTTGGCATCCTTCCAATGACCCGCCACTGTAGCCCTGCCCTGGTCCAAACCTCACCTGAGAACAGAATCTCAGAAGTGGAACCCAGCAAAGAAAGCAAAAAAAGGGAATCCCGAACATTGTCCCCCATATGGATTCCTGGCACCTGTGGCCTCTGACCTTAGCCCCTGGGAGAGTCGCTCAGCTCCTTTACAGTAGTATAATTTGAAACTTGGCATCCATTTGTTGTGGAGGTCGCTAATTAACTACCAGCTATATTCTTTGGTCTAGTCTCCATTGTCCACCAAAATCTGACCTACATTTGAATTCGACTGGGCAGCTGTTCTAATGTAATTGCTTCTACAAGCACTTTACTATTCTCCACTTACCCATTTCATTGTCTGAAACCTATCTTTGCCTTAAGGTCTATGTCAGCCCATGCTCCTATTAGCTTTCCCCATTTTCTGGATTCCTACAGCAATTTCTTTAGTAAAAATAAGACAAAAGAGTCAGTTCAAATTGCACTTTATTCCAGTTCTGGTTGTTTGAGTTTTAGTGTTTTTATCTGTTGGGATAGATTTCATACCTTGTAGAGTGATGAGGCCAAGAACATTTAGCACATTCTTGGCTCACAGAATAGCACTTCAATCAGCTATTTTCATCACCATTTGGAAATAATGCATTACCTTATATTATTTACGTTTTCAACTGAGGTATATTTTTCTAACTGGATTATGGATTGCTTATTGAAATAGCCTGGTATCTCCCACCATGCCTGGTTAGTTGAATGAACATGTGTTTAGGGCTCAATATTGATTGAATGAAAATTAGTCTTGCTTATTTGAGTCCCCTTATGATTGGTCCTTAACTAAAACACTTAACCTCTTATCAACTCATACACATTTTGTTTCTGAGATAGTCTTGTAGTGGTCTTGTCATGTAGCCTAGGCTGGACTCCACTGCAGTATATATCCAAGACTGGCCACAGACTCATAGCACTGTTCCTTTTCTCAGCACCGAAACTACTGGGATAGTAAGTATGCACCCTCCATCCAGCTCACATACTTTTAAACGTTGTTTTCAAGCTTTGGTGCAAGTATTTGTTGTGTGTTGAGAAGCTCCCCCCCCCCTTATACTTCTTATCCTCCTTTCCCTTTTCTCAACTCCTTTTTATTTGTTGTTGTACTGGATCTTGACTTATGAAGCAGTGTGTGATGTACTTCCATGCAGGATTTGCTGTGATCTAGGGAGTAAATAAAATTAAACATTAAGTTATCATAAATGAATCCTTTTGGTAATCTTTATGTGTACCTTTCCTAGAGATTTCCTATATTCTTCTGTATCTAAAAGCAGCCATCATTGCTTATTTTTATGAAGACTTGTGTTCTCATTGGAAACTGCTTAAGAACCTATTTTAGAGGTCAGCCTGCAAAGTGGAGATTTCATGTCTTTTGACTCTAAAAAGTACATCTCTGACTAGAGAGGGTGCATTCTTAATCAACTTACTGAAACTAACAACCAAATTAAGTTATTTCTATAACAACTTAGTTTCGTTGACCTGGAAGCATTTTACTTTTCCATTAGAACAGTGTGAAGACTGTTAAATTTGTGTCTGCTCCAGCTCCTTGCAGCTCTGTAAGATGGAGAGTTAGGGAGAGGACACACCAGGAACTACAGGGGTTCTTCACAGTGAAGAACATATATATCACACATTTTCCAAGCGTATATTTTAGAGCCGGGAGCAGTGATCCACACTTGTGATCCCAGCTCTCTGGATACTAAGTCACGAGGGTCCTGAATTTGAGGCTATATGGCTATATAGATGAACATGATACACAGTTAATAAAATATTATTTTTAAATGCTACTTTTTTCATAAGAATATTTTTAATTTTATCTGCTTTGATTTCTTGATGTTATATCTGGAAATTGAGGTGAAAGCAGTACATTCATTTAATATACTGCTAAGAATTCTTGACTCAATTTTGTGTTCCTTTAAAAATACTCAAAAAGAAAAACCAAACCCAGGTCCTCCACAAAAACAACAAGTGCTCTTAACCTCTGAGCCACCTTTCCAGTCCCAATATTATGTTTTTATTGTACTCACTCAGCTTTTCCTGTTTTCTGTCCCTCAAACTCCAAGGAGGAGCTCAGATAGAGACATTTCATTACTGTTCTGGAACAAAAAAAAAAATCCCACCACACAAGTCTGCTTGGTGAGTGTGTCATTCAGTAAATTAACTCTCCATTGAAATACCCTTCAAAAACCACCTGCCTCCAAGGTGACCTTGTTAGATACAACCCAAGCCACCAAGTGGAACAGTTTGTATCATTTCTGAAGAGAACAATTATGGTGCAGCTCATTAAAGTTAGCAAAGTTCCTAAGTAGAATCGATGATTGCAGTGTTTTCTAGGGGAAATTTCTTCAGTGCTCTGAGGAAACACTTCAAATGTTAGGCTCTGCTCTGGCATTCCCTGAATAATAGTAGCTCCTCTCTCTCCTTACAACAGAGTCTCAGTTTTCAGGATCAATTTTAAAACCTGAGGAGGTTGCTTCACAGAATCATTTGTCTCTGTCTCGTCATGTTATTTTTCTGAATTTACAAACAAATAAAAAAAACAAGAGAATTTAGCTTAAAGACTAGATATAAAGCATAATACAAAAAATAGGATGGTCGGAACTGAAGCATATGTGACATTGTGCCTTTTAGGTGCACTCTGGTATGTACACTGCTTTGGGAGATTGATTTCTGAAGTCTCATCCACCCTCACCCACACCCTCAAATCTAGAGTGTCTCACCACCTTCCCAATCAATTTGGAACTTGGCTTCTTAATAGTGGCTGAGGAGCCTGAAAGGAGAGCTTGCTCAGACAGTTCGTATCTACATGCAGCCAGTCCTCCCCGTTTGTGGCTTCCACACACTAACTAGAGACTCAAAGCCTCTTGAATCTTGTTTCCATTTTCCTGAAATGCCGCTGAGGCTGAGGAAGAAGACATCTGGATGGGATCTGAACTGAGTTTCAGATATTTTCTATAGCGCAGTGGTAACACATGTTAAAGGGAAGCTTTTGAAAGAAGAAGATAAAATAGAAAATAGCCCTTGGAAACTGCCCTCACGAAGCAGGACAAGTCCCTTTCTAATTTCACAATCCAAATCTTCAGAAGGTGTTTCCTACCACTCCTGTGCCGTGCTGCTAGGGGGTGGGGTGGGGAAAGAGAATGCAAACCAAACTTAAAGGTCTTAACTGCAAATTTATTTTTTGTCGATTGTAACATATAAATACAAAATAATTAAATAATTTGGAGAAGCAATTTTGCAAAGACAAATGAGCACACACAGAAACATACATTCCTACTATGATTAGTCTGGGATACAACATTTACTTGAAATATATGCAAGGGAGCCTTAGTGGAAGATCTGACTAGAGGAATTGGAAATGTTCCTATTAAGAATATACTGTACTAGAGGCATCACTCAAGCAGGTATAGATGAGAAGCAGGATAGACCTTCTATAACTAGGAACAATCAGAGTTGGATATATAGATCCAACCGTGATATACAATATCACAGGATAGTTCATTATTCCCAGTAGCTGCCCACCCCTCCCCCTTGTCACTGTACATTCTTCAAGATTTGACATGTTTTTAAAAATACATACAAATGGGACAGGATCGGAATGCAGCGGGTGTAACAATAATGTACCATGCAGCTGTCTTTTAAAGAACTGATTTGTTTGCCATATATACACTCTTGAAAAGTAATCCTACTCTGATTCCCCCCTTTGGAAAGGCTCTAAGTATTTGAGAAGTGGCAGTGTATATATTTTCCACCTTCACAATCTTCCTGACATGGTTTAGATTACAGTTTTATCCTCAATGACCATGGTATTAAACTAAACATCTTAATGCAGATTCTGTAATCTGATCATTAAGGATGAAGTCCGGGCATGGGCATTGTCATTAAGTGTCAAAATGGTCACACAAGTCATCCTCTGCATAAGTGTGTATGCAAGATGATGATTTAGGGCTACAATGTGGCCCCACTGTTTCCCAAACCATAAGCTCATAATGCTGTGTTTGCCCAGTGTGAACACCTTTTCTTGACCACTCAAAGGCACTTTCTGAGCTAACTGTGGCACCGTCTGTTTATAATTGTTCAGTCTGCCTTTATCATTATTTCTTGATTTCAGCAACATTTCTGAATTTCACATCCTATATGATCTCCCAAAGGAGGGTTAGAATTCACTGAATCAGTAAGTTATCACATTAGATAAAATGATGCAATCATGATTCTACAAAAGAATAAATTTACACAGTAGAAAATAAATATAAAAAAGTTAGAGATAAGATTTTTGACATGTAAGTCACTAGAATTTAGCTTATGTACAACAAAGGCATGCACAATTAAACTCACTGACAGACTGAAGTAAACATTTTTTTTTTCTAGGATGTTATCAGGGAAAACACCCTCTTTAAAATGTGACTAGAAATGAACATTCATTTTTCTTTTCCTAGATCTTATTCGGTGGTTTTAACATCAATCTTCTTTCAAATGAAAGATAAGAAACCAAATTTCAAATGTCTAAAGACCGTAATTATGCCATGGTTTCTTCTTCCGATAGTCAACCATTGCCCTCAATTAGCTTATGTTCCTTTAGAGGTTGCTGAGGAGAAAACAAGCTGATTTTCATACATCTCACATTGTGTAAAAGGAAAACTGGACACTTCACACCATCGACACCGTGCTTTGATTTGAGAAGAGGAGGATCACATTTGCTCAATGAAGTGCAAGCTTCCCCGCTTTGAAGTCCTTCTGAGCGCCACCCGGCCTTTACCGTTGCAGGAATCTTTGTCACCGAACACGTGCTGTTTCCCTGTGAGGTCGTGAAGGCACACGTCTCCATTCTGCACGCTGAAAGAAACCCCATTCCTCTCTGTAGATGCATTGCCTGGATGAGGAATATCCAAGTCAGGATTGTGAACTTGCCAGAGAAAGCACCCAAGAACAAGCAAGCCTCGCCTCCACTTTAATGTTAAATAGGTACACCGCAAATGAAGCTTTAAAACATCCATCCTATGTTTTCATATTTCATTGTTATTCCTTCTCTAAGGTCAGTGACAGTAAGCACAACAAATTTGAAGTTGATCAGAAACAAAATTCCTATGGCAGTTTTAAAAAAGTGAAACAGTCAAAATGGGGAGAAAAGCAAGACTTTTTAAAATTATTTTCAAAGGCCCATTTCCTAACTCCAGTTGAACACACTGAATTAGACTGTGTATAAGATAACCTACAGTAATATTTAAGATTAGCAGAGATCCTATGGGCACTCTTACAGGCTCCCTATAATTCCTATAAAATGAAAATTTGTATTAGAAGATAAGCTTAAAGAACCAGTTACAAACAGTCATGGCAAGAAGAAATCATCTCTCTAACCATTTCTAAATCTGTCTTCTGACTATCACAGTAGCACAGTTTCCCAAAAGGAAACCATGGATACTGACCTAAGAGTCCAGCCAGAAGACAGCAGGATGTTTATTCAGTGGTACCTGTAATTTAGACCTAGACCTCCCTACCATTAGCAGCCTCAGATCCTTAGGACACAGCATCTATGAGCTTTTAACTGCTTAGTAGTACCCTTCTGCTCATTATACCATTGAGAGGCCATGTGCAAAGCTGAATTATAAGCCCATTGATAATTTCATGATACAATCATAATAATGATGAGAATAGCACTGAACACATCATACATGTTGTCTCACTTATAGTGAGTGATAAAGGATGGGTGCTATTTATTATCCTCATTTCACAGATGATATGGCAAAAGCTGTAGAAATCAAATGCTCTGCCTGAGCTTCTTATGGCTCAAAAGTGATGGACTGAACACTTGAGAAGGTTGTTTCCAAAGTGTGAGCGTGTAGCCCTGCCTACTAAATTATATTGCTCTGGTGGCTCAGTACTGAAATATGACACATTCACACAAACGAGGCAGTGGATATGGTTAGCACAACTCCATCTGTGCCACGGCTCAAACAGGGCATGTGACTGTCTGAAGCAGCTGTTCTGACTTAGGTATTTTGGTTTGAGGACATTTTGGTTGCAGGAACAATTTGTCCCAGTATAATAAAGCACTCGGCTGCCAGTGACTTTTTTGAAATTCCCAGTGCCATTCCTCATCTGGTGTGAGGGCTGACAAGCCAGAGCTGTTCATTTGACAGGCATATTACCCTTTTTGAAACACGTAGTCATTCTGTTGACTGTAAAATGTCCCCTCCTTACATCAAAACTAGCTGTGTCAAGATAGGCTGCTTCTATAAGATCTGATTCCCCAAAGAATGACAACATTTTTTGGGAGGGCTAGGCAGGTGAAGCTTCACCTCTGAGCTCTTTTCAGAAAATGGAAAACTAGTGATGGATCAAGAGCCCCAAACGCACAGGCATCTAAGACTTCTAGATGATCTAGTTTGATCCTTTCATTTTCCTCCACTCAACTTGCTCTCTCACGCTTATTAAGCAGCCTTCATCTCGCTGTCTTTACTCCAAGGACCTACAATGCATCATTCCTGATATGGCAAGTTGGCATTCGGCCCAGAATTTTACTCTTGGTATTGACAGTGAGGATATAAAGCCACATGGCAGCAATTTCTTATCTTTTACAGCAATGGTTCTCAAAGAAGGACAATTTATTACCTGTCCCCACAGGAGACAATGTCTGGGGGCATTTTTGCTTGCCACAACTTGGGGCAGGGTATTGTTGTCTCTACTGGGGAGAGAGGCTAGGGATGCTGTTCAACATCTTGCAATTCTCTAAAAAGAATTATCTAGCCCCAAATGTAACCAATGTGTGAGATTGAGAGGCCTCGATGTCAAGGATTCCTGTTGTATTTTCTTTGTATAAAAATGCATATGTGGTATGTATGCACATGCATACTAGCATGTATGCTCATGTGCGTGCACGAATGCACATGCAGTGTGTGCATGCATGCATGTGGAGGCCTGGGGTTGATGGAGGGTGTCTTCCTGGATTGATTTTCACTCTACGTTGAGGCAAGGTTTCTCACTGAATCTGGAGCTGTTTCAGCTGGTCTGGCCAGACAGTTTGCTTGGGTGTTTCCTGTCTCTATCTGCCTTTTGTGTGCTAGGATTACAGCAGGGCTGCCACACCCACTGGGCTTTTAAGTGTGTTCTAGGGATCTGGTCCTCACCCTTGTGCATCACCTGGTAAGCCATCTCCCCAGTCAACCCCCAGTTGTATTTTTTAAAATCAAACTATCAGAAGCCCTCATCTTCATGTCTCTATTTGGTAGAGACAAACCGATTTGAATTAGTAATGAAAAGTACTAATGTCTTAAAACAAAGGATAAAGGGTAATTGTCCACTGGAAGAAGAAAATATACTGACATATCATAAGTTTTTAATAAAATGCAAAAGATTTATTAAGAAGCAGAAGAGAGAAAAGTAAGCATGATAAGCTTTATGAGTAATGAACAGCCCAGTCTTGGAGAGAAAGAAAGTGTAATGATGTTTTAGCTAGAAATTTTAGACTTAATGAGTGAAAGAAGCATAGCTGTAATAATCAGCTCATATCTGCGTGACACAGATAGTGACCAATATTGCTCACAATTCATCTTCCAGCATTTGATATATTCATGGGCACTTGGGTGCTGTCACAAAGCAGCCACCTTGTGGGAAAGGATTAACAAACATGAAAAGCGAAAAACAGGAAGGTTTCAAAGTACTAAGGATGTGCATGATTAATAGATATGATTTTTAAAAATCATATTGCTTGGTAATTTAGGTACTGCTCTTAGAGAAATAGTGCAGCACTGAAGTCTTTGGACAATATTTAAATTAGGATTTGAATATAAAACCTTTTAGGTTATGGTCAATTCCCATTATGGGAAACTAAATCGTCTTTAAAAAGTCATTCTCATATTCGCTCTAAAATAAATAAATTTGGGTTTATAAATGTTCTGGCTTATATGGAAAACTCTATTTTGATCCACTGGTCATAGGTGTAATCATTCAGTTTGCTTTGCAAAAAGAACTACTTCAAAAAATAAACACTGGCTTGAGAAACACTATATTGAGACAGACATACATACCATTCCCGCCTGCGTGCACTGAGCAATCATTATTCACTAGTAGTGTGGTGGAGTTAGTGGAGTTACAGCTTGACTGTAAGGAATTTGAAGAGCTGGATACTCCTTGGTTTACAGTCTGCTTCTTTAAACCATTAGTAGCAGTTTTACTCCAGTCTACAGCAGAATAAGCATTACAGAAAAAAGGGCGGTATGTTGAAGCTCAAATGCAAGAGACAGGTCACAGTGTAACAAGTTCTAGCAATTGAATTCTCACTTCAAGATCTCATAGAGAACTCATACATTTTACAAGCAGGTGTTATAAGAGGGACCTTCACTTTCACTATGCGTATTTACCTTTCAAATGACTGCCTCATTAAAAGGAACCTGTGCCCTCCTGGAACTAAAGGCTGAGCCAACTGGATTGTCTGGAAATAGCCATTGAATTAGGAAGTAACCCAGCACCTCTCTCCTTCTGCCCTCACAAGGACATAAATCAACTCTACTATGGTAATTGTTCTTGAATCCATACAGATGGCTGATTTACATACACTGCCGTTTTATAAATACCGACCTCAGTACCCATCAAGTACTGAAAGGTGGTATTCATGCAGAAGGAAGCTAGCTTTTCAAACAGGTCTTTATTATCCTTTTAAAAAAAATAGAAAGAAAGAAAAAGAAATGAGCTTTTTGCTCTACTAGCCAACCGGGAATATGTGAAAAGAACTTCAAAATAACCAAATACATGCCAAAGCTTATATACAAAGTCTGGTCAGTTAACAAACAAAGTCACTGACAACCTGGACCTGTGGAAGAAGAGTGAGTCAAGCCTTAAAACGCTATGAAGGAAAATATTAAAAATTACTTTGGGGAATGAAAACCATGAGCTCAATAGGAAACACACTCTAAAAATTTCACTGTTGCTTCCTGCAAGAAGCGGTCGGTTCACTAACCCCATTGCTCACAAAATTCCCAGGGAGGAAGAATTCTTTTCTTTTTTTAGCCCCTTAATGAGCAATTAACAGCATTTTCTGTTGTGCAGGTGGTGTCCCTGCTTTCCAGATCTGACAGCTCCTAAGCAACGATTGCATTCCTCTTAATATACACATTTATTTTCTTGAGAAGAAAAACGCAGGCAAATCTTTACCAGAATTTTCAGCCAGCCGTAATTTTCCACAACAAACATACCGCCTCCACTGTTTTCTGACATTCTCTTTTGCTGCACAGTAAAAGATGAATATGAAGAACCCTAAAGGGAGAGAAAAAATCCCAACCATTCACTCTTCAGTGAATTCCAAAACAACCCTACATCTGGGAGTCCACTTTGCACAAAAGAGGACATCTTTGGCAGTTGTGGACAAAGCACAATTTTGTAAACTGAATACAATATCTAAAATCCAAAGCTTTAAACAAAGATCTTTGTAAGATAGAGTGCTTATAAAAGGAACTGAATCTTCACAGCTGAATTCACCATCTTTTGTCCCAGGTCTTGCCTCGTCCTTCTCTGTTCTGATAGTACAAGCCATCAACCCAGGATCCCTGGCTGAGACCTCAGCTCCCATTCCCAGAATCCTCTGGACTTGTAATCTAGTTCCAAGTTCTATCCATGTGCCTCTTCCCTATGCCAGGTCCCTCGCTTGGGTCCTTTGGGCCTTCTTCTCTGAGCATCAAGCCTGCAGAATGTTTGGATTTACTTATCTACCATCTTCCTGCATCCCTTAAGTCTCAAGGAAATGTTCCCCTCATGTTCCAGCATAGAAAACTAGCTACAGGTTTGAACAGGCCTTTGGACTTGCTTTCTACCTAGCACTATTCCCAGTTATATGGGCCAGGAACCCTTATTCAGCGCTGTCTCTGCCAAGACCCCAAGGCTTTTGCTAATAAAATATTTGTGGGATGTATGTATGAATTCTGAACCCTCTCACTCCCCCAACAGTTACCTACTTTTAAAAATACTCATTTGAAAGCACTAGATTTGCTTCTAATGGGGTGGGTAAATATGAGAAGACCTCAATAGTTGATGGACATTGCACACCTTCGCCTAATGTTACCCTGGGAGGCTCCCTTGGTTGCATAAAGGGAGAAACAACATGTGTGAGAAAGGTATGTATGGAGCTATACACCAGCCAAAATAAAAAAAAAACATATACGCAGCTCATCTTCAATCAACTCAAAAGTACTGTAAAACTAGGCCTTAGCTCCCTTTTAGAAGCAAATTAATTCTAGTCATTTATGTTTTAGGAAGATATTCTGGGGAAATGGAGAACAAGAGGCACATTTGCTAGATTACTAAACCACATGAAGGCAGGTACATAGATTTCATGTTAATGATGAATGTGAATTTGCATAGCATATATATATATATATATATATATATATATATATATATATATTTCTTTTTAAGTATCTACTACTTTTAGTTCCAGTTGTTAGGTTATAAAACTTTTCTTGAGCCAAATGTGGTAGCACATGCCTATATAATTCCAGCACTGGACAAGCAGAGGTAGGAAGATCACTGTGTATCTGAGGCCAATCTGGTGAATTCCAGGCCACCAGGGCTATATAACAACACTCTATCTGAAAAGCCCCCCTCAAAAAAGAACCCAAAACAAAACAAAAACCCTTGATATGATTTTCTTGTTTTGTTTTGTGTTTAATACTATATAGCACAACACCTGGATATACCAATTTAGGAACTGGTATTTTGTAAATAAAAATACCAGCCATATATAGCCATGTGGTGTGTGTGTGTGTGTGTGTGTGTGTGTGTGTGTGTGTGTGTGTATGTGTGTGTGTGTGTGTGTGTGTGTGTGTATGCGTGCACACGTGTGCGTGCCTATCTGTCTGTCTGTGTATGTGTGTGCTTTTTTCAAATAAAATAAGAACCTATGGCCAAGTTAGGTATTAGAACTATACTTCTGGGAGGGATTTCTTTGAAAACTGGCAAAATTATCTTTTGCCTGATGGGGCCGCAGGAGGGCAGTATGGGAGCCAAAGGCAACATGAAAACAAGTAGAAGAGAATGTAATGGAAAGGAGTTGGAAGAAGAGGAAGCCAAGGGACAATTCTTTATTGTTTCTGTAATGCAAACCTATTAGCCTGCTGGGCTTTTAATGCCAAAGCACTTCCATTAAAAATTAACAGCTGACAAGACTTTTATAACACTGCTGCAAAAGGAATTAGTCATTTGCTTTTCTAAAGAACACGATTGCTAGGGTCCCAAAGTCAGAGTGGCTGGGCTTTATTACCATGTGGGAAGCTCAGAAGTCAAGAGGATCCTCCAAGCCTGCCTGAGGTCTGCTCAGGGCAGCTTGGTAGCATCTGGGGATTAGGCCATGGCCAAGATCACTGCCACTTGTGTTTGTTTATTATCTTCCTGCTTATCATTTTATGTTTCCAATCAAAGCCCCAAACCAAAGCCCTAGGTCTGTGTGGTGAACTCTTGTAGTGACAATGTATCTGGGTTTATTATCTTCCCACTTATTATTTTATGTTTCCAATCAAAACCCCAAATCTAAGCCCTATACCTAGGTGTGTGTGGTGAACTCTTGTAGTGACATGCTATCTGGGCTTTTCTTGTGTGCGAGTTCTGCTTCCATAAATTAGCTTAAAAATAAATAAAAAGGAAAGAAGCAAGAAAAGGCAGAGTAATTGGCTCTCCCAGGAAGAGTTCCTGGCAGATTCCCTCAATATAGTTTCTCCAAGGAGATGAGGATGGATAAAAGGAAAACTCACCATTTCTCAAAATTAGTAAAATGCCTTTCTCCTAAGGACCACAAAGCTCCTGTTCTCAGCAATAAATTGGTTCGGAAAGGTGTATAGCTTCAGCCACTAAATAGCCTTCCAGTGATATTTTTTTTATTTTCCACTGGGCTCTTTGGGTTCATAGTTAATGCTGTAGTGCTTACCTTGTAAGGTGTTAAAGATAGCAAAGAGATACATGAAGGCGACATTAACTGGTCCCCAGGCAAAGAAGGCAAAGCCCCAAGTAATTCCCAGTAAGAACGTGAGGCCAGCAATACTCCTGAGGTCTTGAATGCTAGTTTTGCGCTGTGCTCCCAGCTGCTTCTTCCTTTTAATTCGACAGAGCTGAACCAAGACGACAATGAACATGCTGATGTTCAGTAAAAATATCACACAGAAATAGCCCACAACTGTGATATAGAACACAGCATTGCTGTTGATCCAGCAACTGGATGGGGGAGAGGAGAGGAGGAAAACATTATGATGCGGGAAGCATGCTTGCTCCAAGTGATGCACTGAATCTATAATGTTTGGCTGAAAACTTTTTTTTTCTTCAAGTACAAAAGAAAAAAAAATGATAAACTGCTTTTCTCCACCATCATTTATCGCTCTGGGGGAAGAGAATCTAAGAGTTTGCCTTAGGACCCTTGCTAATGAAAAAATATTTTAGGGCCTGGAGAGATGGCCCAGTGGTTAAGAGCAATTGGTCCTTTTCCTTAGGACCCAAGCTCCGTTCCCAACACCTATGGTAGGCAGCTCACAACTACTTATAACTTCAGCTCCAAGGGACTTAACACCCTCTTCTGGCCTCCACAGACACATACATGTGTCACACGCACACATGTGTAATATACATATATATAAATGAAGATAAATCTTAAAAATAATAATTTAAAACTATTCTTAAAGCATTCAGAACGGTGTCAACTATAGTTATCCTACTCTGCATGTCCTTATTAATATCATATCATGAGCATTTCATTTTTATCAGAGGTTAAGTGTCTTAATATACGTCTTTCTAATTTGTATACTCTCTCAGAATAATTCCTCCTAATTCATTATTTAAATAGTAGCGTGGCAGTTTCCACTAGCTAATCTCATTACACATGATGATGAAGGCTCTTGTTTAAAATGATCTTAGATTTTATTAAGATGATAGATATAGCCAACAGATTGATTAGATCCTCCATTTTCTTAGAGAATTTAATTTTCCAGTTCCCTGGACATTCCTAAGATGAATTTATACTTACAAGTCATCTGGTGTGCCATTGGGGAATTTTCCATAGGATCCAATCCCATAATTATCTGGGGATATAGTCAGGATGATGGTCACAACCACAGCTGGTATCCCTGGAACATGGGAAACATCAGTCACACAGTTCTGACAACCAAATAGGTGAGAAGAAAGACTGGAGGTCATTCTATTTTCTTTCCTGTGGCATGGCAGAGACTGGTTAGCTATTCACCAAATTAAGTTTCTTTTCATTTTTGCTACATGGATGGATGTGTCTACCCTCATTGGCAGCAAGAATAAAATTTTGGCCAATATCCAATGCAAAACACACAGGGGTTTATTGATAACAAGCAAGCCTGGGCTTGGTCTATGTCCAACACTTGACACAGCGGGTGGAGGACGATGGCCTTGAGCTCTCAGGGTGAAGGGTTTTTAAAGGGAAAAATCACAAGCAGGGTGGTACAAGCCTTTGCATCATATGATTGGGTAAGGGTATATAACCTTTGAATTTACTGGTTGGGGGTTACAGTTATTATTTGGGGGCAGGCCTGGACAATTCCCAGGCTCTATCCTTGAGCTGCCATGGAGGCTGACTGGCCTCACATGTTCACATTGACCCATGCACATAGCTCTAAGTAGGTGAGGGGTCCCAGACAGTAAACAATTGACTGAGCCTTGAAAAGTCAGAGTACATGCAGAAAGGGAGCTACTGCAAGGACTATGTCTTTTGTTCATGGCCCTCCCAGAAACTGCTTGCTCAAGTCTCAGAAACTGAAATTGAGGCCTGATCTCTGAGAGAAGATTAAGCAGCCTGTTATGGCGTCTGCTTGGTCCTTTCACTTACCATCACTCACCAGCCCCATGTTGCCACTCTACACTAAACATAGACCAGCCAGTCAGCTCCACTACTCTGGTAAATAAAGCAACAACAACAACTCCTTTTACAGATTGGCTGGAGTGCCTGATACAATCAAATGTATTCTTTATTTTAATTCATTTGTACATCTAATGATACTGACATGATTAAGTCATGATTAGTAAGTTTCCTAAGTAAGACATTTTTAAAGATAGAATACTGGAGAGTGGAGTTGTAGATCATTGTTGGAGTGCTTACCTAGCATGTTCATGGCCCTGTGTCGGATTCTCAATGTCAAAGACACCGAGTATCAGAGGTGGAGGAGTTTGTCCTTGACAAGAGCATCTGGCATTTTAGCTGTCTCTAAAGAAGATAAAATTCCTGCCCAATGCCTGGAGCCGTGACTTTCTTTCTGAGACAAGTGAGGAGAACTGTGTATTTTACTATTCTTCACAATGATGTAATGGTAAGCAGGATGACATGGAGTGAAAAGCTTGCAGTCCTGTTGTGCAGGAAGGACTGTTTAGGTTGAAGAAGCCAAGCAGATGTAGGAGTGTTGATGGTTGGAACCCAGTGGAAATGATACATAAAGAATGAGAAAGCCAGGCTGGGCTGTTTTCTAGCCTCACAAAATGCTATGCCACACCATTACCTAGACCCAGGGTCTTCACCTGGGTGCTGCCTACAACTGACTTGCTAGCCTCATTGGCTTAGCTTCAATGAAGCGATTTATGTGAAAACCACATCAAAACAACAGGGCATTAACATTTATGGACTATCTAAAGGCTCTTGGGGGAAGAGGTATCAGCTTATTATTTTTCACTGAATAGACCAGAACCAAGCTCACTGGTAAGTGCCACCAAGAGCCATGAACTTAATGGAAAGTAGAAATGGAGAGATTTTGGAAATGATCTGGTCGCTGAGGCAACAAGACTGTTCTGAGGACAGTGCAGCCCACGTGGAGTCCAACGCTCCTTTAGAAAGTGGCCAAGTGGGATCTGATTCATCAAATCTCTACGTGAGTGCAAGTCAGAACACTGGAGGAGTCCAGGCAACACACAAGGAAATTTATACATACCCCAGCCAACAATGCAGAATTTAAGGATGTACTTTCGGATGTATGTATTAAACACTTTGACAAGTGCCAGGTACATGTGGAATGCTTCTAAGCCCATCCATGTGAATGAGACCAAGAGGAAGTAGTGAAGAAATGCAGCCACAGAGATGCAGAAACCTCGGGTATTATACAGAGCAATCCAGGAATCTAGCAGGAAGACCAGATTGAGCAGAAGCAGGGCAGCACATAGCTGGATGAGGATTTTGGAAGGGTAATCCCTCCGGATCTTTCTAAAATGAGAGGACAAAAAAAAAAAAAAGAATTAGCATTATAGTCTGGCAAACTTTGTATAAGAATATTTCTCAGGCTGTCTCAGAGTTTTAGGTGATTCATCAGTATATACTAATATGCACAGATTTCCTCTCAGAGTGGGTGAGTGTACAGGGGACATTAAAACCAACAATATCTGGACAGTGATGGCACACATTTTTAATCCCAGCACTCAGGAGTCAGAGGCAGGTGGATCTCTGTGAGTTCGAGGCTCACCTGGTCTACAAAGCGAGTTCCAGGACAGTCATGGCTACACAGAGAAACCCTGCCTCAAAAACCAAACAAACAAAAACCCAACATCAACAAAACAATGGAAAAATCTAAACTGAAAAAGTGTGATAATTAATATTGATTGTCAACTTGAAAAAAAAAACACTCTAAAATCACCGAAGAGACAAGCTTCTGGACACACCTGTGAGGGTGGGAGCAGGCTAACTAAGGTGGGAAGATCCACACTGAATGGGTGGCATTATTCCATGAGTTGGGCCTTAGACTGAATAAAAAGGAGAAAGTAGTCTGAGCATCGGCATTCATCACTCTCAGTTTCTGCTGCTGTGACACCCCCATATCCCTATCATGATGGACAGAACCTTCAAACTATGAGCCAAATAAAGTTGTCTTTGTCAGGTGTTCAATCACTGCAACAGGAAAAACAGCTAATATGACAATCATACAGCAAATATGTCTCAACTTCTGAAGGATCTTTTACATGCTGATTGTAGACCCTCACTTTTAAATGGTATGTAATCAACACTACTGAAAAGCAACCTTGATTCTCCTTAACTACTTCTAGAAGTACTACTAGTTCTTCTCACATAATAGGCTGCTACATTCAGATCTCAAACTATGGTATATTGCTAATATCATCTTACACTATGACTTAAATTGAGATCTTGGAAAGAAGAGTTTAAACTATAACTAAATGTAATGACACAGGGAAATGTAGCGAATTGACCTATTAAGATTTCCTTCTTGGCATCACCATCCCTGAGCTCAAGCTCTACTATAGAGCTATAGTAATAAAAACAGCTTGGTACTGGCATAAAAACCGACATACAGACCAATGGAATCGAATTGAAGACCCTGACATTAATCCACGCACATGTGAACACCTGATTTTTGACAAAGAAGCCAAAACTATACAATGGAAAAAAGAAAGTATCTTCAACAAATGGTGCTGGCATAACTGGATGTCAATATGTAAAAGATTACAAATAGATCCATATCTGTCACCAAACACAAAACTCAAGTCCAAGTGGATCAAAGACCTCAACATAGATCCCGTTACTCTGAACCTGATAGAAGAGAAAGTAGGAAGTAGTCTTGAATGCATTGGCACCGGAGAGCACTTCCTAAATATAACACCAGCAGCACAGTCACTGAGAACAACAATTAATAAATGGGGCCTCTTGAAACTGAGAAGGTTTTTTAGGGCAAAAGACACAGTCAATAAGACATAAAGACAGCTTATAGAATGGGAAAAGACCTTCAACAACCCCACATCTGACAGAGGACTGATATCCAAAGTATATAAAGAACTCAAGAAACTAGGCATCAAAATACTGAACAATCCAATTAAAAAATGGGCTAAAGAGCTAAACAGAGAATTCTCAAAAGAAGATTCTCAAATGGCTGAAAGACATTTAAAGAAATGCTCAACATCCTTAATCAGCAGAGAAATACAAATCAAAATGACTCTGAGATACCACCTTACACCTGTCAGGAATGGCTATGATCAAAACCACTAATAACAGTCTATTTTGGAGAGGATGTGGAGCAAAGGGAACACTCCTCCACTGTTGGTGGGAGTGCAAACTTGTACAACCACTATGGAAATCAGTATGGCAGTTTCTCAGAAAATTGGGAATTGATCTACCTCAAGACGTAGCCATACCACTCTTGGGCATATTCCCAAGGAATGCTCATTCATACCACAAAGATACATGCTCAACTATGTTCATAGTAGCACTATTCATAATAGCCAGAACCTGGAAACGACCTAGATGCCCGTCAACTGAAGAATGAATTAAGAAAATGTGGTACACATACACAATGGAGTACTACTCAACAGAGAAAAACAATGACAGCATGAAATTTGCAGGCAAATGGATGGAACTAGAAAATATCATCCTGAGTGAGGTAACCCAAACCCAGAAGGGCAAACATGGTATGTACTCATTCATAAGTGGATACTAGATATAAAGCAAAGAAAATCAGACTGCAACCCACAGAACCAGGGAGGCTATATAGCAGGGGGGACCCTAGGATGACTGGGGCTTATAATAAGTTTTGGTTTTACTCAATTACTGGGCAAGTCTCAATGAAACATTTCACTATTAGGATAAGAATTTGTACTGTATCAAGTTGATAATCGATAAATAAATAAATATAAATTAAAAAAAAAAAGATTTCCTCCTCAAAAGTGATGAGAGGAACCCTTCTGGTGGGCCAAGAAGGCGGTGATGTTATTTGGAGAGCCTTTCCTTGCTTTCATTTACAAAGCCACACTCACTGAATTTTGTCAGTTAAGTTTTACACTCATCTTCTTCATTCCTATACCAGTTAATATAGTTAATCTTTCACATTTGCTCAGTGTTATTTATAAACTTAATTTGTGATTTTTTTTTTTTTGCTGTACACTGTGCTATGATCTCTTTCAGATTGTAACCTCTTGGATTTCAGTCTCTCCTTTTTCCTCCACTGAATGCTCATGACATACCAGGCACCCATGCTGGGCACAAGGATGATCATGACACAGCCCTTAGTGAGCTCACAAACTAGTAGAAGGCAGAAGCATATAACCCCAAAACTCACATAGCAATTCACACCCGGATATTCTACTACGTGAATATAAATGGCAGGGCAGGCTGAAGAAAGGATTTTTAAGTCAAACATTTTGGTGATGAAGGTGAGAGCTGCATCTTATAAACCAAATTTCAAGTTGTAGATACTCACTCAAAGGCTATGTAGGTTACAAGAGTAACTGACAGAAAAATTGATGAAAGCCCACAGCCAATATATGTGATAAATGTCAGAGCCATCATTTGACTTGGTGGCAAGGATGTCCGAGATAGGTCCTGGGAAATAAAATATTGCTATCAGTGATTGATTCATTTTAAATACATAAGACTTGTTATTATGTTTGTTGACTATGCTAGGTATCCATTAACAGTCTCATAGTCTGTTCAACCAACATATCACTTTAATCAGGTGCAAATAAGGACACAGGGAGTTCCAGTAACCTACCGAAGGTGGTAGCTAGGAAGTGGAGGAATCAGAATTCAAATTCAGGTCTGCCTGACTCCAAAGCTCACACATTTGATCACTGCATTGTAGTGCACTGGGGAAGCCCTGGATTAGGGGCCTGAAGACTGACATTTGGCTCCTAGTTCTTACATTTCTTAGTCCTATGACTATGAACAATTACTACAAGTCTTAATTCTAATTGCAAAAAAAAAAATCAACCTGTGTTTAAGGAATGCTGGGAAGAGTAGTAAGATCATTTAAGGATGGGGGTGTGGCTAAGTGGTAGAGTATTTGCCTAGCATGCACATAATAATAACAGTAACAATAACATTTATGTCAAAGTGTATTATAAGCATTTTAAGTGTATTGAAAGGTAAATAATTTGTGTTGTCCATTCTAGTCAGAATCCCTTGCTACTTAAAGGAGAAAAATGTAAATGTAAAAATATAATGTGAAGAAATACTTGCATCCTACAAATATTAATCTTTAGATGCATTTGGTTATTAAAAGAGTGGTCTCATTGACATATAACTATTCCACAATATTATGTTTCCTGCTTATCTTTCTAGTCATCAAGCAGAGTTGATATTCTCATATAATGCTCAGCTAGCCCTCAGACCCAGAATCTAATGCCACGGAGCATGGGTATGTTACCATTAGGATGCCAAAACTTGTAAGGTGGCTACAGGTACAGATGGTTTCATTCAGCCTCTTGTCTTTGATGGAGCAGCCATCGGATGACCAACCTCCTCTGCCACCTGTTGGCATCAAGAGCAGTATCTGTCCCATCAGCAAGGCCATAACACATTGACTTACCAACTTCCCCACTCACTCACTTAAGACCTTGAAAGGGTATAAATTGGAACCTACCATTTCTGCCCAAGTCCCAGAAGACACATTTCACGGTTAAGTCATCCTGTAGCAGAAAGATAAGTCATGGCTAATTAATTTACTGAACTGAAAAGTAATTAGGAAAATCAGTCCTATTTTTAACTTCTTAATCTTATGCTTGATTTTTGAAGACTTATCTTACGTGATTCTTAGAAGCAAATGAGCCCCATACAGGTTAGTGCTTCTTAAAATATCAATCATAGCCGGGAGGCAGTGGCACACGCCTTTAAATCCCAGCACTTGGGAGGCAGAGCCAGGCAGATCTCTGTGAGTTCAAGGCCAGCCTGGGCTACAGAGTAAGATTCAGGACAGGCACCAAAACTACACGGAGAATCTCTGGCTTAAACAAACAAAAGACAAAACAAAACAAAAAGCAAAAAAAAAATTATCATGTATAGAAATCACCTAAGGAATTTGTTAAAAAATGTACACTCTACTCAGTGGTAGAGCACTTGCCTAAAATGGTGAGGGCATGAGTTCAATCCCCAGCCCAGGGGACAGGGAATAAATAAATTCTGACTCTATGCATCTGGAGTGGAAGCTGAGCCTTTGCAAGTCTAGTCAACTCTCAGATGAAACTGATGTTGCAGGTCTGAGGACCACACTCTGGGGAGAAGCGAAGTTGTAGCTGAAGCTCAGAATGAGACGAGGTCTCTGAAGGTGGAAGTCAGACCTGCAGCCACAGCTCTGCCCACAGTGTAATTCAGCAGTGGCTAAGAGCTTGCTTTTGCATTCGTCTGCCTCAGAAACTAGGTGGTCAAGGATGAAATGATTCCAGAACTCAAAATTCTGTAGAGCAACAAACAATTGTAGTCTTATACACATGACCTGTCTCAAGCCGTGCCCTGCAGGCATAGTCTGTACAAGGTGTCCTTGGCCAATGAACAAACCAGACAGGCCTCTCCTCACCTGACTTGGGCTGGTGTGTTTCAGCATAACTGTCACGTTTCTTGTTAAGTTCTTGATAGTCATATTCGCAACACTTGATGATATGACATAGCTGATCAGAGACAGGTTCTCCAGGGAGGGGTCCTAGCACAACAAAGAATCAGCAAGATGACAATGGAAATGAAATAAGATGGGGGGGGGGCGTTAGGGCTAGAAAGACACTGAGGATGATTTGAATTCACATTGTTTACAATGGAGGTCAGAAACTGTGATGGAGCAAAGTAACTTTTCCAGGAGACATCAATAGAAGTGGGGCGTATTCCACCTCGGGGCTCTAGAGACTAAGTTGAAGTGCACAGTTGACACAATAGGACCTTGGGAATTTTTAAAGGAGGACACAACATTAATCATTGAAATCTTGTGTCCCTGAGCAAGCTACTGACCACCCCCATGCCTCCATTACCTTATCTGTAAAATGGGGTAACAATAGCTTCCTTCCTCCCAACACAGGGGTTAGAGACAACACTTGTGACATCTTAGGGGAGAGTTTGGCCCTTTGTAAGTACTATGGATGTGTTGGTAACTGCTATTTATCATCATAAGGAACATTAGTGTGTGAATAAGAATTAACTACAGAGTTTCAACACTTCATTTGTTTTGTAGCAGGCTGAAGAATATGTGATGATTAAACAGAATTAAATCAGCCATCTCCAAAACAAACCCAAATCAAAACCAGGAAACAGCAACTTTACCTGAAACAGGGTAGGTTTTTCAAAGAAATTGAACTGAACCCTGGAAGCCAATGCTACCTCATTAGCTGGCAAATTACTCATCAATGATGAAGGCAGAGTAATGGCACCAATGCTATTCTCAGGAGCCTGGGTTTCCAAAGAAACCTGGAGATCAAGTAAGAGATAATAAAAGTGTCTGAGTTGATACAATAAGGTGATCAAAAACACAACTCAATGTGAAGGGGCCTGAAGGAGTTTTATCTATGATCTGACTTCAGCATTTCTAGATCCCAGTCCCTCTAAGGGGTGGCTAGAAAGCACTAGAAGAAGGATTGCTTTTAGCACCACTGTACACAATAGTGTAGTTATAAAACTTCTTCAATATGTTGAAATTCATCTCTATGCCTAGGTCCCCCAACTGCCTAGTATTCCTCCATGAAGTTTCATGAAGATACCATTTCTTGTCATCCCTCCACATACCAACATAACAAATACCGCCCCCTCCCTCTTTCCATTATCCAGTTATTAAAGAGTTAACATGGGCACGGGACCCTCTCTGCAAATTATATTTTTGTTTGAATGCTGGGGATTGAATCCAGGGCCTCATGCATGCAAAACATGCCCCATATCACTGAGTCACATCCCAGCCTCTGAAAACAATGTCAGTTTTTATTCTGTAGGTGTTTCGCTGGCTGCTCTATATACTAGGCTGGCCTTGAACTTAAAGAGTGCCATCATCTCCTGAGTGCTAAAATTGAAGGACTAAGATATTAACTCTTTTGAAAGCTGAAAATCTCTCCTGACAATCAACAGTAATTGCTGCCATCAGGAACCACATCAGGGGCTCCAATCATGCACAAGAAAATGTTGTTTCTATAAGAAATTAGATTGTACCTGAAGGTTTTCAGGATCTTGGGCTGCAAAGGTCGTTGTATTGAAGTTACTGGCATTCACTCTGACCACGGCAAGAGCCAGAGAAGGGGAAGTTAGACTGATAGTTGTATTTGAAAATCTCAGCTGTAAGCCAATGTCATCTACCACTTTTAGCAACCTGTAAAGACAGTTGGCAGTTTTAATTTAGTCTTCTTTTCTCTCTCTCTCTCTCCCCCATTCTAATATAGGGTAGCAACTGGACATCATTATGAGCCTAGTCCTTGGGGGCAAATACTTAGCTATCACTAGCTATATAAGCAGTATCTTTAGCATTAGAGGGGATCCTCTTAGCACCCTGTAATGTACATTATGCACCCTGTAATGTACATTATGCACCCTGTAATTTACATTATGTAGGTAAATTGCCATGTGTTGTTAAACATTGTTGAAAGACAACTCTTAGAGCAAGGAGGGCCCTCCTGTTCTAGACTCCAGCATGTTTATTTCAAGAGTTCTCCAAAATGTTATTTAAAAGCATCTTTTCCTGGGACACGCTGCTTCTCTTAATACTGTAACCGAGAGAAAGGAAAAAGCAAGCAGCGAAGTGTATTAAAAACATTATGTCCTTGAGAAGAGCTAGAAGGTAAACTAATTACAATGCAGGTTACTATTGCTTATCCCATAATATAAAAATGCCTACAGCAGGAGCTGGAGGCTTGGAAGCTCATCCATGGAGATGGCAAAGAAGACCCTTTCCCCTGACCCTCTCAACTGGGAAATCTAGTTCTCTGCCTCAGTTGGCTTTCTGCTGGCTGTTTGTAAGGCTCCAATTTGAAAATGTCTTCCTTTCTTAACTGAGCTACTTCAGTCAACTGTTTCTGCTGGATGTCTTGCTATCTGTTGCTTCTCTCTACCTGCTACCCAATATTTATTCTTGCTTTTGCTTATTATATACTTGATAAACTCATTCATTCAGAAGAGAAAGATCAGCTACCACAGTTCATTCTCTGAACAACGCAGAATATACCCTTTCTGTTTTCTAAGTCATACCTTTGAGCCAGAGGGGCTAGCAAGGCAGGTGGAGAGTGAAGGAGTTTGCTGACGCGGTTTATCATTTCGCCTGCAAGGTTAGGTTCTAAGCTTCCCAAGGACAACACTTTCTCCATCTGTGAGACTTGGGCTTCAAGATCAGGAACACTGCTGCTGTTGCCAACTTCTATATCAAAAAAATCAAGCTATGTTATGAATGCATGATGTGAAAATCACTTCCAAAGATAAAGATATATAACTCCTATGATGTAGTCAGCTTACTCCTAGGTATTCATCCAAAAGAAGATATATGTGTTTAGAAGACGTAGTTGTGATTTTTCATAGTGGCCTTTTTCATAATAGTTCCAGACTAGAAATAACTCAAGTTCATGAAATAGATGGATAAACTGTGGTATGTCCACAGTGGAACTTTATTTAGTGGTAAAAACAAATTAGCTACCAACACATTCAGCAACATGGATGGCTCTCCAGTTGTCCAACACATTATGTTAAAATAAAAAGACCAAAACTCAAAAGGGCACATCCTATATGATTCTCTTCATATGACATTTTAGAAAAGTTAAAACTATAGAGAAACACAACGTATCAGGGCTAGAGGTAAATTCTGACTTAAAAGAGACACAAAGGAACTTTAGAGGTTGAAGAAAAGTTATGTATCTTGATTGTTATTGTGGTTACAAGACCACAGATGCTTATTTAACCGCATAAAACTATGAAAATTTCATTTATCATAGAACTGGAGAAATTTTATTGTATGTAAATTATATTTCAGTAAGCCTAACTAAAAATTGTAAAACCACACCAGAATATTTACACAGTGATATAAATAAAAATAATTCACTAGTATTTAATTTATATTATTTGGACAGAATTTTATGTGGGTTACTAGAAGCTCTTTTATGAACAGGAAATTATGAAGTCAGCAGCCAGATTATCAACTATGTTATTTTTATAGTGTTCAATTAAAAAATTAAACATCAACAATATGAACCTATCTTTAACAACAGAAATCTCTCTATGTGTCTATCTGTCTGTCTGTGTCCCCCCCCTTCTGTTTTATGGTACTGTTTTATGGTACTAGGTATCAATTTTTCTTTTTTCTTCTCTCTCTCTCTCTCTCTCTCTCTCTCTCTCTCTCTCTCTCTCTCTCTCT